AGGAGGGGCCAAGAGATATGCTCTGGAGAAGCCTGGGGAACTCCAACATTTAAAGATCAACCAAAGGAAAAGAAACCAGTTAGCCCTGAATTATACTTAAAATCAGTACCTACTTGGTTTTAAGTATACTCATACTTGTCTTTATGCCTAGTAGTGTTCAATAGTGCTTGCTTAATTCATTTTACTACTAACTGCAAGGAAAGGTTGCTTTTTAGAAGTCTTCCAGCCCTCCAGTTTAATGATCAGGCAAAATTTGCAAAAGCAGGAAGGCCAACACTGGTATCTAGCCCAGGATTGAACATGGTGGACAGTTTAATGACTGCTGTAGACAGGCTCACCCTCCCAGACTCTCCCTATTCCCATGTCTCCCGGACACACTCCTAAGGGCACAGCTCCAGTGCTCATGAGGGATGGCACACAGCCCAGGATCCCAGCACAGCCCTCAAAGATAAATACAAGACCCTTGAGAGCATAGCAGCTACTGGAACACATGGATGATCCGAAGGACACCCCCCCACACACACACACACACTTAGGTGTGGACTGAAGCACCTCAATTACAAAACACTCTGGTTTTTGAACAATTACATGGAAACCTTTCTCCAGTATCTTGTCATGTTTTTCCCATTGACATTAACCATTCAATGCTCATAATTTTCTGACTCCCCCTTGTTTTTATGAAGTATTTAAGGATTTGTAAACCAGGCATTTTGATTAGGCCTTCATACCCATCACCTAGACAAATTCAATAGCATTCTGGCTGGTCTCCCTGCCTCCACTCTCTCCCCACTCTGCCATCAGAACACCACACCAAATCTCTTTCCTGTTAGTGCTCCCGCCTGCCAGGTACTTCAACAGATTCTCCACTGCTGACTGAAAAAATATTACAAAATTCTAAGCTTAGAATTCTAGGTCTCTCACCATCTTTCACTTCCAGGAACCTTTCCATCACTAGTGCCCACCAGCCATATCTATATCCAGGCTGTAATCAACAAGACCCCATCTTTTCCATACAATAATCACTGTGGCTTGTCTCTGCTATGTCTCAGCATTGGCCATTTTCTCAGCCCAGGATGCCTTATCTGTTTCTCCATCTGTTGATGCTGCACCACTCCTCAAGTACCAGGCCAATGGTGCCTTCCTCAGGAGCGTTTCTTATTCACCCCCGGCAGAAGGAAAAGTGCTTGTCTATACTTCTGAAACAATTGGTGTGTATTTCTTTAAAACTCTAATCAGAGAGATGATAGTGGTGATGATGGAGAGGATTGTTCTTCTGCCTTGGAACTCTTATTTATTTTATTTTATTTCAACATATAGCACCTAGCAAAGCATATGGAAGAAACTCTTAACAATATTAACTGAATGTCTGAGTAATTCATTTAACCCACTAATCCATTAATACTTAATCCCCACGTCTTGTCGTTTAGCCATTACATAATTTTCAGTCTACATACATTGGATTGTCTTAAAATTCGAGCTCTGAGGGTTTGGAGACGGCCACATAGGTGACTTTCCTTAAGACCCATGTTCCTTAATGGCCAGAGTATCAGCGACTGACCTGGAAGGGATAAGGATAGAAGAGTGGGCAGATTCAGGAAGAGCGCTCCAAGATGGGAAAGTCATATGCTTACAGCTGGAGCAGCAGGGCGTTGACATGATCAGACTAGGCTTTTGGAGAAACCACTGTAAATTCAGTGCAAAGTGTGGAGGAGATGCCAGAGACAGGAGAGCCTCAGGAGGAGGCAGCTGCAGGCCACTCAGGCAGAGAGTGTACCTCCTGGCTCCAAGCCCAGGTCTTTGCCAAATAGTCACTGCTGTCTCTGCCTCTTCTCAGGGCTTCCAGGGCAGATGTGGACACCTTACCAAGGAGCGCCATGCAGTAGATGCTGAAACCACGCACCCCAGGCTAAGAATCAGTAACATGGCAGCACCTGCTTGAAAGGATTACAAACCAACAGACTCCACTTAGGAAGGAACAATGTCCAAGAAAGGGCGAAATAAGGGCGAGAAGCCCGAGGCACTCATTGTCGCCCTGCAAGCTGCCAATGAAGACCTCAGGACCAAGCTCACAGACATTCAGATAGAGCTGCATCAAGAGAAGTCCAAGGTGAGTGAGGGCTTCCTGTGGCCTTGGCCTTGGGAAAGTCCTGGCCACATTCACCTGCAGCAAGCACAGCTCTGTCTGCTGGCCCACCCCAGTATGTCCTTTGCCAGAGGGCAACAACCCCTGTATGCATGGTGGTTCTCTGGTTTGTGGTGGAGGGACAGAGAGTGAGATGAGCATGCTCACTAGATGCAGCTCTACCTCCTCAGGAAGCTGGTGCAGGAAACGAGACAGACATACTGAGACAAGGACGGCCGCCACCGTTTCCTAACGCTTTATTGTACAACCCTGGAGGAGTTCCACCCTTGCTCTCTGTTGAGTATTCCTTCCATAGCATTCAGAGCAGTCCTGGGATAATACATCATTTTATTTCACTCTGCTGCCCAGTATATTCCAGTGGCTTCCTAACCCTCTTTCAGTCGAAGGATTTCCCTTACCTTTAACGGATATGACCTCCAGCCCCCTCTTTGATTCATCCCACACTACCTACCTTCTCTTGATCATGCTGCTCTAGTCTCTTTGCTGGATCAAGAGAGATATGCCAAGCACTTTCGGGGTCTTTGCCCTTGTTCTTCCCCTGATCAGAAACTTGCTCCTTTCCTCACCTCCCTCCGTGGCTGTTCAAGCTTGACTTATCTGACCACACAGATCATTTCCCCCAGTGCCGAAGGACTCCCTGAGGACTATTCTTTTCATTCTCATTTCATGCTCATTTATATATTTATTTATGTATTTACTTCCTTAGTGCTCATCTTTCCCCACTCAAGTGTCATCTCTCTGAAAGGAGAGACTTGGCTTACTTGGTGTCTCTAGAGCCTAGATAATATCCAGAACTTAAAAATCAACATCTGTTTATTGAATAAAGTAGTGATTAAAAAGTGGTTTCTTCTTTACAACTCAATTTCTTCATCAGTAAAGTGCTACCACTATCTCCTGGGGCTGTGAGGAGGTATAAATCAGGTACATAAAAGTACCTGTGAGGATTAAGTAAGAAAATCGTTCTCAAGTGTCCAGAGAGCTGCAAACGCTCAAAAACTTATTAATATCAGTGTTCTTAATAATGTTCTCTGAACTTCAGTCAGTTGCTAACCAAATTTAGGAAAATCTTGTTACTTCTCTGAATCTTATCAGTTAAGTGGATAAGCTAGCACATATCTCACCAGGGCAGAGTCAATATAAAGCCAAGAAAGCATTTTGAAATATCCATTATGTACTAAGACATTTTTGATCCCTGTCATCTGGAGACAACCATATGGGTGTCAAGAAGACTCATTCAGATAACTGTGCAGTAAGAAAGCATTCTAGATCAGCAGCACTAGGTCATAAGGCAATGAATGTTCTGATTCCATTTTGTATGGTTCTTATTCCGTGACATCATATTAAATGTTAATTGTTATTTCCCCCCAATTCTATTCCTCCTTGTTTCAACAATAATAATAAATGGGCTTTGGATCAGCGAAACCCACTGCCTCCTGTTTCAGCTAAGCCTTGGCCTTGGATAAATAAACGCTAAAATAAAGTTTACAAAAGAAATTACTTGGTTTCCGCAAAGCAAAAGGAATTGTGATTTTTTTAAAAAGCATAAGTTTGAGAGTCAGAAGTCCTAAGTGTTATCTTTCCCTCTGGAGGAAAATTTAAGGGTCTCAATGTCTCTGTCTGTAATTCAGATGACTGATTCTGTGACTCGATATCTGTGTCTTCTAAGCATGACTGTGCAATAGACCAATCTTGGGAACTCCTTAAGAATTGAGATTTCCTGAGCCCCCAGGCCAAGAATTCTAATATTAAAGGAGGCAGAGTGGGGACCAGGACTTGTACCGCTGGGAAGCAGCCCAGGCGATTCAGATGGAGGAGCTTCCCAGTGCCAACAACCACTCCACTCTAAGACCCCTCCCAGGTCTCACTGCCTGTGAACCTGTCCTTGGTTTTCCCTGGGGCAGTTTAATATTTGAAGGGAGATAGACTCCTTTAATTATAGCAACAACAGGATGACAAACGATCTTTGTAGGAAGAGGCTCATTGGTATGAAGACTGGTAACCATAAATTGTCCCTGCTTGTCAGAAAAGCTCTATAGATTCCCAAGAAACAGAGGCCCCAAGGAAACCACCGTTACCATTTTCCTATACATTCGAGCTTGAATGAGGTTGCCTGTCCCTCTGGGAATGGGTACAGGTGTCATCTCCCCTCCCTCTGCAGACACTGACAGGACACTAGCAGCGGAATCTCGAATAAAAACACAGCCTTATCTTTCCCTCTCCTGGCTGCCCCTGCCTTTCACCCTGTCTGAGGCAGCTAATTACAACCTAGCACAAAGTCTCACCACCCACCCGTCAGCAGCCTTCCCCAAAGAGTACAGGGAATCTAGAGGGCAAACAAGTCATAAAGCAGTTTTATTATAAATAAATATGATTGTGTTTTCAAAGAACCAGGCTGTAGCAGAAAGAACATGAACAATAGCAAGATGTGAATTTACACCCTTGGTTTGGCCCTGAGGTGCTGATGATAAAATGATACTGCAACTATTGGGAATAGAGTAGTTAAAGAGTGGAAAGCTTTGGGGTGATGGGCCATTACTCATCTTTCCAGCAAGATATATAATCACTTTGACATTTACAAAACATCTATCATGCACAGAACAGAGTCATAAATACTGATAATGCAAATGGCTACAATGTATTGACTGTTTCTATCCATCACACACCTAACACACCCACTCCAGCCTGCCATGACCCCAGCTCTTATCCTGAGCACCTCAGTGACTCTGAGGAGGTCATAGAGCCCTCTGTGTTTTCCTCTTCAGTCATATGAAACAATGGTGGCATCTGCTTTATAGGATGTGTGTGTGTGTGTGTGTGTGTGTGTGTGTGTGTGATGCAGTTTGTGTCAAGTGTATTAAAGGTGTTCCTGCATCTATCTCATTTGACCCTCATTACCTGCCTTGAGGCATTGTTGCTACCCGAATTTTACAGATAAAGAAACTGCCTGGCAGGTAGGAGGTGCTCCAAACTACTTGCTGAGTAAACTCACTTGAGCCTTCCTAAATGGTTTCCGGACAACTCTGTCGCAAAAGCACTGTTATAATGCTTATTTAGGTGGGAAGCCTCAGGCTTGGGTGGGGAAAGGATTTCCACCAAGGTCCATCTTTTCCCTGAGCCAGTAAACTATAATATTTTCCTCTGACTTTTCTCTGGATACCATGAGGCTGGGTCCGCTGTTCAGTGTGCATAAACACACCAGGGATGGCAGTGAGATAAGAAGTTCATCCACTAGACTCCCTGTGGCTTGTCCTCTCCTTCTAAGACAATACAATTGTAGTGAGCAGTGTGAGCACGTGACAGGGGGAATGAAGGGGCAGAAGCAGAGAAAAGGATCCAAGGGTAGAGACAGCAGAACAGCAGGCCAGGTGGCAGGGTCTGGGAGGAATTGGCTCCAGACAGGAATGAGTAGTCTGCACCTGAATAGCCCTTCAGACTGGAAAGAGCTTTCACCTCCTCAGAGCAAGCCTGGGACAAGGGCAGGGGGCAGGGCGTGACTAATATTCTGATTTCACTGAGGAAGAAAACCAGTTTCAAATTGTTTAACTCATTCACTCCCAGTGACACAGCAACTGAGAAGCTAAAATGGGAATTCCCTTCTGTAAGCAAAAGAGATCTGGGGAATGCTGAGCATCTAACTCCACTGTGTGCCATTGTCCCCAGGGCACTCTCAGAAAGATTTCTCTCTCCTCAAGTGCTCAGACCCTTCAGGTTCAAGGCTCAAATTGGGGGTTGGATATTTATTTCAATCTGCACCTTTACCACTGTTTTCAAGATAACTCAAAGCAAGAAATTTAAAAAATTAATCCTTTGTACTTTTTCAATTGTAAAGCTTCTTATAAGCAAACTTCCTGTAGTGGTAGCTTTCCCTTCTCCACATCTCCAGATGGAAAGTTACAAGGCACACGTGAAAATTCCCACCAGTGAGGATATGGGGAAAAGGTACACTTACACATTGTTGGTGTGACTGCAAATTAGCACAACCACTTTGGAAAACAGCACAGAGAGTCCTTAAAAGACTAGGAATGGAATCATCATAAGACCCAGCTATCCCACTCCTTGGTATTTATCCAAAGGAACTAAAACCAGCACACTATAGTGATACATGCATACCAATGTTTATAGCAACACAGTTCATTTAACCAAGTTATGGAACCAGCCTAGGTGCCCATCAAGAGATGAATAGATAAGGAAAATGTGGTGTATACACAATTAAGTTTTATCAGCCACAAAGAATGATATCATGTCATTTGCTGGTAAACAAATGAAACTGGAGATTATCATGCTATGTAAAACAAGCTCAACTCAGAACATCAAGAGACAAATGTTTTCTCTTATGTGAAAGTTAGGGCTAGGGGGAAGGGGGATCTTATGAAAATAGAAGGGATACCAATAGAGTGGAGGAAGCAGATGGAGAGGGAAGGAGGTGTGGGCATGGGGAAGTATAATACACACACATACATACATATATACACACACATACACATATATAATTATAATCACTAACAAAATAATAATAATAATAATAATAATAGTACTACTACTAATAAAAGAGAGATCAGTAGAGTAGAACCAACTGGTTCAGGAGAGGGGGGAGGGAAAGAAAAGGCAAGGTACTAGGGGATGAGATTGATCAAATTGTGTTTTATATGCATGTATTAATTATGTTACATACACAATGAATACCCAGTTATGTATAAATATAATGCACCAATAAGTTTAAAAAAAAAAAAGGAATGAGGAAAAAAAGAAAAAGAAAGCAAATCCTCACCAGCTTACTGAGAGTTTAGCATTCCAGGAACATCCAATGCAGATAACCCAAGTGGAAGCCTCTGTAAGCTTGTTCTGCTTTGATAACCTCTTGGCCCTTCCCTTCCCTTTGACTGGGATCCAGCTGTTAATCCTAGTTCTATGATCACATTAAAGTTCACACCATCATCATCTTTACCTCAGCAGAATTTACAACAGCGTTTTTCAAAGGCCAGACTAGAATGAGGATAGAAGATAAAAATACAACGTGCAGCCTGTGTAAGGTAGCCATGAATTCTCTTCCTTCTGTCATCGTTTAACCTTTCCCTAGTAGGATTAATGTTTCCTAATGATCATTTTTCCCCATAGGACTCCAGGGTGGAAGGGATGTGAAAACTCATCCTTCAATGACCTGTTCACAGCTCCCTCCAACCTTGCCCTGGCCCACCTCCACCCCACTACTTGTGCCTACACCTCTTCCAGATGTCTTCCAAGCTAAGATTCCATACCACCAGTGCCAGCAAACTCAGTACAGAGGAAACCCAGTTTCACCCGTGAACTTCTCTTTCTTTTCAGAAAACATTTATGGTCTTAATAACATTATATATTAATGTCAGTCTTATCACAATAATATAGGTCCTTATTTTTTGTTGGTAGTATTAATATAACATTGTATGATAGTATATTATTATATGCAACAGTATTTATCAAAATTAGCACTATAGTATTTACCATATATTAATGGTAATGCATCTCCTATATGCTGCAGGCTTTCCAAAGGATTTTTGATATATTGTTTAACTCAGTCCCCACCACAACCACCTGAGAATGATATCACCAACATTAATTTACAGATGAGAAACTGAGGCTGACAGGTGAAACAGCTTGGCCAAGGGCTGGTTCCCTGACAACTAAAATAAGTGGACATAAAAAAAATGTTAAATGTTACTGTATTCCTTTGAACTTTCTTTGATTTTATGGATTATTTTAATTGATAGGCAGGAAGGGCAGTGCTTTTTTTATATTTGGTTTTGACTTCAGGTTGGAATGTATTTTCCCCGCATCTGTATTTTCACATTTTTCTTTTTGTTCATCTCACCTCCTATCTACACAAATAAAAGGTTAATGTTTATAATTTGAAAGAAATGACAAAATCACAGGGAGACACCGTATCATATACCTGAAGAGAATTAATAATAATTAATTAATTATATTTATTTATAATTAAATTATAAATAACTTTAGATGAGGTGTCTTCTATCATAGCTAATGATAATATTACCTTATATGTCATAGTACTTTACAGGACAAGTTTTTTTTCCCATGTGTTTTCAAATTTAACCCTAGAAACAAACATTTCAGGAATTTTCCAAGTAAGTTTCTTAGAGATAGCAGATGGTAAAAGGGAAATGTAGATCCAGAATTTCTTATCCTTTTTCCATTTTTACTACAGTTTTTTCATTGTTCTAGGAAGAATTGTTAGAACTTCCCATTGTAACTTATTACCTGATAGCTCTTGTGGTTGTGACACTGTGCCAAACGCCTAACATAAATACATCCTGCTGAAATTGGAGAGAACTAAGTTTTCATCACTTGAGCTAAAGTATCTTTCCAATGTCTTATATGGAAGAAAAACTGAGTTTCTGTGTCTATTAAAAACAAGGCCCTTTCTCTATAAAGATGTGTTTTCTAGAATAGGAATCAGCAAAATTTTCCTGTAAGGGGAAACGTAGTAAATATTTTAGAGTTTAGACACAGAGTATCTGTAAAATTGCTCAACTAAACTGTACAATAAAAGCAGCCTTAAGCAATGTGTAAATGCATGGACATGCTGTGTTCCAATAAAACTTTATTCATAAAAGCAGGAAGTAGGATGGATTGGACCATGGCTATTATTTGGCCCATCCTCGTCTGGAAGATATGTTCTTCTATTCACTATATTCAAAATATTGCATTTTTAACTTATAATTACTATAAAAATGATTAATAAGAAATTTCACATTCCTTACCTTACCATAAGTCTTCAAACTCCTGAGTATATCAGAGCAAATTTCAACTCAAACTTGCAGCATTCCAAGTGCTCAGTGCATCTAATGGCCACCTTCCTGGACAACCAGCTGTAGAGCATTCAAGAGAACAGGCATCTAGGAAGGGGCCTTAGACCTGAGCTGGAGCAGAGTAGGATGAAGGTGAGTTAAAGATGCCTGACTACTTATTTCACCAGTCCCCTTGGGTTCCAAGCTCTTTTAGAATAACCATCCTGAGAATAATCACTGTGCCTTTAAAAATGAAATATTCATAAAATGCTATGTGGACCTAGAATATACTCTTATAGATAAAGGTAGGTAAGCTATTGAGGTAAGTAAAATCTCAGATACTTAATAATTACCATGATTTAAATAGACTTTGAATCTTAAAAAAATATTATAGTCAGAAAGGCTTCCAACTATTTTGTGAGATCTTACAATTTGACAAATGGCAGAGACTCAATATCACTCAGCTAAGTAATACTCCTGGGATTTTCTTCTCTTCCAAGTTATTCTAAGTGTGTGTGTGGGTGGGTGGGTGTGTGCGTGTGGTGATAGAGATGGAGAAGACAGAGGCAGGCCAAAGAGATGAAGTCAGGGAAGGAGGACACAAAACAGGGTCACTGAGAGGCTTTTTGGAGCTACTAATGCCAAGCCCCATCCTGATGTCCTCAATCAGAGACTTACTCAGCCAAATTAAGGTAGCGAGTGCCATTGCTCATCTACTAGGAGTCCTCCATTGTTACTGGAAATTTAACAAAACACAGAATATCTTCTTAACCAGAATTCTTAGGAGGCAAGATGGTTAGAAGGAATATTTCAAGCTACCTGGTCTGTTGGCTTGGGGACGGCACAGGACAGGGTTTTGACTAATTGTGGAGAAGGATGTAAAGAGGCATCCTTCTCCACAAGTGGATGTAGTGTGCCTGAATGCTGAGACAGAGAGAGGACTCTACAAACTGCAGTGTTTTCATTTTGTTAGTTTGTTGGTTGGCTTGTGTTTCCATATGTGCATGTGCACAGAGCTTGGAAAGGAGCTAGGTCGCTGAACTAAGACAGGTAAGGTTAAGGCCATTATCAACTATTTTTCACCTTCTCCGTTAGCAGTAGCATATTCTATTCCACCCAAAAAGGAGGAAAGAGAACATTTTATAATATCATCTTAGTCACCAATGTATTAGCCTAATCACAATATCAATCTATGAGCTAACTGGAGATGCCAGTTTGGATCCAAGGAGGGTTGTAGAGTCTAAAAAGGTCTCCAGCTGCTCTGTATTAAACTCTTCTCCTTTCAGGGGAACCCCATTAGAGCAATACTTCCTGATTTTAATGTATATTCCAATTGCCTGAGAATTTATTAAATTGCACATTCTAATTCATAGGTCTAGGATGGAGCCCAGGATTCTGTGTTTCCTGCCAGCTTCTGGATGATACCTTCCTTCTTGTCTGCAGGTGACACGTTGGATAGTGCGGGCTGCAGAACTTCAAATATTTGTCTGAACAAAGTCCCCAAAACCGTCTTGGGTATTTCCTCCTTTTACACACTGCATTCCGAGCTCTAAGGCTCCCGTTTCCCCTCCCCTCTAAGCACATGGTGGCCTGGAATATGAAAAGAGATGAGGAATTAAGTGATCACAGCGGCATAAACTATAAATCCTGCCTGGGAGCACACCTTTTCTTTGAGGCTTATCGCTTTTCATCCTTTTGCCTCTCTGCCTTTAGGTATCAAAGCTTGAAAGAGAGAAGACCCAAGAAGCAAAGAGGATTCGTGAGCTGGAGCAGCGCAAGCACACAGTCCTGGTAACAGAACTCAAAGCCAAGCTCCATGAGGAGAAGATGAAGGAGCTGCAGGCCGTGAGGGAGAATCTCATCAAGCAACACGAGCAAGAAATGTCAAGGACAGTGAAGGTGCGGGATGGAGAGATCCAGAGGCTCAAGTCGGCTCTGTGTGCTCTCCGGGATGGCAGCAGTGACAAAGTAAGGACAGCGCTCACCATTGAGGCCCGGGAGGAGGCCCGGAAACTGTTTGATGCAGAGCGCCTTAAGCTCTTACAGGAAATTGCGGACCTGAAAACGGCCAAGAAGCAGGTGGACGAGGCTCTGAGCAATATGATCCAAGCGGATAAAATCAAGGCTGGGGACCTCAGGAGTGAGCATCAGTCCCACCAAGAAGCCATCTCCAAGATCAAGTGGGAGTCGGAGCGGGATATTCGGAGGCTGGTTAGTAATCCCATCAGACCATGCGGTGCAGAAACCTTCTCTTTCTAGGCACAGAGCTCCGTGGGACTTGCTTTTTCAGGCGTTCCCTGGTCAGAGGATGGTATACAATGCCTAATTATTGTCCAGTGCGCTATTCAAAATGCAAGATAGGTCAACAGGTATTCAGGGAGCGAGATAAACAGATGGATGTGCCCAGGCCCAAAAGAAATTGTAAAACGTAAGAGAATTTAGAATCACCCTTCTCTTATTAATTGGCTCTTCCTAGTCCTACATTTTTAGAGAGTATCTGTTCCATGACCATGGCTTTCTTTGATTGACATCTGTAAAAATATTCTAAATTATGAACTCTTCCAATGTTTTTATGGACTTTGCATTTATAAAACCTCATTGGGATTTTTACAGGGCACAGGAGATGTGGTTCTGTAATTTTTCAAGATGTCTGCAGATGGTAGCCTCTGAGAACATACTAAGTGATTCACCAATCTTTTTTTTTTCCATGAACCATGTCTGAAAGCAAGAGACAGAGCTATCAAAGCTTTAATCATTTTGAAAATTGATCTTTTCTCAAAATAAACAGGGGTCATTCAAAATAAGAGTCATTATAATTTCTTAATTGGATGTTATTCCTAAGTAGCTGGTTGGCTATTTGCAATATTCAAGATTTATCTCAGCCCCTGCAGTTTGGATCTTTGCTTTTACCTTGTATAAACCAAAAGCACATAGATCTTTCACCATACTAAAAATAAATAAATAAATAAATTTTAAAAAATACAAATGTAACCATCATCTAAAAGCTAAAATGCCCTACATTGGCCATTTTAGTTATTTTAGAAACAGCATTTATGTTCATCTACACTTAGATGTTTAGTATTAGTTGTATCTTAGTTAATCTTATTAAATTAACTATCACCTATTAGAATGTACTTTATGCTTCTCTAAAAATAGTATTTTCTTAGAATAAAAAAAAAACTATATTTTCCTTCCTACGTCTGCCAATTCTAAGCAATTGTTTTCTAAGAATTCTAACTATGATCTTTGGATATACCTAGTATTTAAATTTTAAGGTAATAGTGGCTACCATAAAACATTTTTAAAGAGCTAAATGTGTGATTTTCTTTGTAATGTAATATAGTATGACTGTAAACTATTCCTGTTGCCACACCTTCTGAATCTTTATATCTGCAATTCATTCTACGCCATGGTTTGACAATAAAAACCAAACACAGTGCAGAAATATTGGTCCCTGCCCTGTCTTTGGTTTTGCAAGTGACGATGGCTGATGAATAAAGAATCAAAACTGTGAAAGCTGGAGTTGGCACATAGGTAAATGAAAAAGAAAGCTCTGCAGTAAATATTTTTGTTAATGGGTTTCAATATAAAATGTACAAGTACATGTGTTTGTTTATCTGTGATTATTTATTTATCTGTTTATTTATTTAATTTATGGTGATACTAAGAATCAGTGTGGTAATAGATTCTTACATCCACAGCTACATGCACAGCCCTTTCTTATTTTTTTATTTTTGAGATGGGGTCTTGCCTAGTTGCCTGGGCTGGCCTTGAATTTGAGATCCTCTTATCTCATCCTCCCAAGTAGCTGGGATTACAGGTGTGTGCCCCTGTGCCTGGCCATAAATTTCTTCCATGGCTTCCTTACTAAGGTACTGCTGAAGTAGACATGAAATCCCCCTTAATAACAATGTAAAATTTAGATCACCTGAAGAGTGGTCCAAAAACGGAGTGCAAACAAAATACCAAAGGAAACCTTTGATAATACACATGCATTCGTCTTCATTTCTTCCTTCTTCTTAACTATCCCTACCCACACCCCAGCTCCATTTTTGGAACTGGAAGGGCCAGAAATGGAAGCTGTTCTGTCTAGAAAAACTTATCTAAGAATTTGGTGCCTACCCCTTTTTATCTGAGAGCTAGAGCTTGGCTTTATTTTCAGTATTTGGAGATCAGAGTCCATTCCCACCACCACAGTAATGGAGAGCCTCCTCGGTGCCAGCTACGGAGAACCACTTTGAGAATTTGGCCAGTCTTGGGGCCATAGAGTCTAGGGCCCGACAGAATGGGCTCTAGAATCAGAAGACTGAATTGAAAACCATGCTTCCCTACTTCCTAGCTAGCTGCCTATAACCAAGATTTCACCTTTCAGGTTCTCAATCCATCACCTGTAAAGGGGTAATAACAAAACCCACTGGATATGATTATAATGTTTTGACTATTGTGTAATATGGTAAAAGGTCAGTAAATCTCAGCTGCGATGATGGTAGTGACTATTTGGGCACTGATGGGATGATTCCCCCAGCAAGCTGGGTTAGGCAGAGTATGTCGGAATTCAGAAGACACCCATCTGCAGCTGTGTTTTAACCATGAAGAACTTTACCCATGGTGACCTTGAGGAATGACCTCGTGAGTTAAAAATAAAACTGGGGCCGAGAGTCCAGTGCAAGACAATAAAATCTAATATTTTCTCTTTTTTATCAGATTTTTTTTTTACCTGATTACTTACCATGCTATCAGATGATGTTGTAGATCCTACATACCTTAGCCCCCATCCTCCCAAAATAGACCTAAAACGTGTGACTTAGAAGCAATAGTTTACTGGCATTTCTGTGTGGAAAATACTTTACTATGTTTAACAATATCTATCCCAAATGCTTTTCTTTTTTTTTCCTCTGGTCTAAAGAGCATACAAAGAAAGTGATTTGTTAAATATAAGGTGACATTTTAGGAAGAGAAAAACAGAATGATGTTTAAATCTTTTCCCAGTTATATTTCAAATATTTACATATAATGTAATAAAACAGAGAGAAAGTTTTCACCAATAGCTATTGTCTCTTCAAAAATTGTTTGTCAACACTTATTTCATTAGCTCTCATCCAGGGATAGCAAAAAGATTTCAGTCCAATGGAAGTCTGGTCAATTGTTACTGTATGTGTGTGCCCTTTAGTTTAGAAATACTTCTGAGGCCATACCCAAGCCTAGCACAAATGAGTATTGAGATCAATAAATATGTCCCACAGATGCAGGAGGAGAAATAGTGACTATTAGCAGGTATTTTCCATCCCAGTTCTAGTCCCAACCACCATGATTTTCTGACAATAATGGCAAAATGTTTGCCAAGTACAGCCTGCTCTGAAATATGGATGGGAATTGGAAAGAACCATATAACATGAACCATTGAGAGGACCCTCCTTCAAAGTGGCCAACCAAATGCAAACATCTTAGTCTTGAAAGATCATTAGGCCACTGAGAAGTCTGCAGTTATAAATGACCAGCTGATATTTGCTATTTGGATTGAACTCAAATGTGCATTCCCCTGAAGAGAAGGCAACATAAAAATTGCCTGGGAAACATTGTAGTAGAATATTCAGTATTCGTCTTTATTAACACAAATGACCCATTTTCAAGTTAGCCTTTCTTTTCCATATCTAACCAACCCAAACCATTTCAAACAATACATTGAATGAGAACATCTGTGCAGAATATACTGGAAAGGAAAAACTGCTCTCCTTGCCATCTAATTAAACTAAGATGACCCTTTATTACACATTGTTGTCCCATCATATTCATGTGTTCGATACACTTGTCATATTCATTTTTCCCCCTGAATCAATCAGAAGAAATAAGTTAAACTCCTACCATTGAAAAATGCATTGCTTTACAGCATTGTTAAAATGTCCTGGGTCTCATTTCATTCAGATGGATGAAATCAAAGCCAAGGACAGGATCATCTTTTCTCTGGAAAAGGAACTGGAGACCCAGACAGGCTATGTACAGAAACTCCAACTGCAGAAGGAGGCCTTGGATGAACAGCTCTTTCTGGTTAAGGAAGCTGAGTGCAACATGAGCAGTCCCAAACGGGAAATCCCAGGAAGGGCAGGAGATGGCTCCGAACACTGCAGCAGTCCTGTAAGTCCACTCAAGTTGGGGTTGGGAACTCAGGAGTCATCTTTTATTTAGCCCCCAAGTTTTACCTTTCACTTAAGCTCTTTTCCTGTTTACTGCCCAGAAATCAATTTGATCTCCTACTATAATACCAGCTAATATCTTGGGAACAAGGTTTTCTAAATTCATAGACAACAAAGTGGTCTGCACTGCATTAGCAGATCACATGAGAATTATAGATCTCTTCATAGACTGCTTCTAGCCAAACAATGCCTGTGCAAACTTAAGTCGATTATAAGAATCATAAATTAAATGAAAATATTTTGCCTCTTGCCAAGACTGGTAATTTTCCCTTGTGTGAACGGTTGGGTTAGAAATTGGTAAAGACAGTTATAATCTACAAAGGTCAAAATGCATATCTGTAAAAAGACTAAACCATTTATAATCATTGTGTGAAAGCTTCTAGTATGATTGAACTTGCCATTTATTTACCTGGATCTTCATCATTTTATATAAGAAATTATTTTTGGAAGTACAGCAAGAGAAGTCAGCTTGTATGTAGTTGACTATTACCTTTCAAATTATTTAGCTGCTAAAAAGATGAAAATGTATTATTTAGGAATAGAGATGAGTTCCAAAGCACTACTTAGAACAAAGTAATGAATAATTAATGAATTGGTTTTCAGGATATATATATAGCCTAGTAGGTGGTAGAAAGCATACCCATCTAGGATGTAGCAGATGTATGTTTTAGTTCTATCACTGACACTTACCTACACTGTAGCATAATTGTCAGAGAATGAGCCCTAGAATCAGATTCCTTGGTTCAAATTCTGGATCTGACATTAACAGAATAACCTTAGGCAAACCACTTCACTGTACAGAATCTCCTCATTGGTAAAGTAGAGGCTATACTGGTATCCCACAAGGCAGTTCAAAGGATCAGAAGAAATGGTGTATGAAATGTTGAACACAGTATCTGGCATACAGTTAACGTCCAATACAAATTTGCTATTAATCTGCAGACATAAGCCATAAGACCTTGAACAAGTTATGCTTCCATGAAGTTTACCTGTCCTGCTGAATCCCGTAGGATATTGTAAATCTAGGGGTATAATGGTTGTGAAACAGTTCTGTCATCAGCACTCCTAAATGATATTAGAATTGCCAGCATATGATAATGATAATGACAGCCTACGGGCTCTAGTACAGAATTAAGTCATGACTGCTGTGTAAGGTGATTCATAGCAATTCTGCCCATGGGAAAGCCAGTCACACTGGACAAAATATTTTAGTGTAGACTACCCTATAAACTACTGCGTAAGGAAAGGTACCTTTCTTCAGTCTGATCTTTTTCTCCAGGAGTATGAAGGAATTTACAAAGCCCATACCTACCTCCTAATCTGTCCTCTCTGTGGCGAAGTGTAAGAGCGGGATGGCTGTCTAATTCGTAGTAGAAAGCAATGTGCAGCCATGACATGAGGGATGCTCCTTGAACCTCATGTAATCACCACATGACCTTGGTCTCACAGCACAGAGCTCGGATACATTGATCCAAAACTCTGCCATTGTCCCTTCCTTGATTCTGGACCCCTGAGTATCTGCCATGTAGAACTCATTTACCATTTCCACCTAGCTTGATCTTCAACCCAAGTGGTGAATACTGGGAGTTAGAAAAGGGTAAATATTTACTCTTCTCTGAACAAGAGAAATTTTGATGTCTCCTTATCATAAAGTAGATAAGGAGAAGTCAGCCTATTACTTTAATAAATGCATTCCAAAACTTTGTGAAAAGTATTAAAGATGAAATACCCATTTTATTTTTCATGTATAGGATTTGCGAAGAAATCAAAAGAGAATAGCAGAGTTAAACGCCACTATAAGAAAATTAGAAGATAGGAACACTTTGCTTGGAGATGAACGAAATGAATTGGTGAGTATACTCGGTTAAGCCCTATATCTTGGAAATAGGTATTATGTTTTAGCAATGTAACATAATAAAAAAGTGAGCATATAACAAAGGTACAGTTCAATAAATACTTGCAAAGTGGCACACCCAATCTACCTAACCACCACCAAGATGAATGAGTAGATTACCAGCTCTCAAATCCTCTCTTTCTTGGGACCCCTCCCATTTGTCATCCTTCTAAAGATGACCACCATTTTTGCCTTCTATTCCCATAGACATCATCATTTTTTGTAAAAGGAATCATACAATTTTTACTCTTTGTGTCTGACTTCTTTTGCTCAGCTTTATGTTTGTGAGATTCATCATTGCTACAGAGGACACTTTCTTTACACTATACTATTCAATTAAAATATCATAAGATACTTATTCATTCTATGGTTAAGGGCTATTTTTGCCTTGTTCCACAATACTTTTAAGCTGTTAAGAATGGTGCTGCTACATGGTGAAAAACGTGTCCATTACTACTAGAGTATCCTAGAGTAGCATATAGGCAGCCTCAGCGGTAATTGCAGTTTCCTAAAGTTGTTTTAACTCTTTACATCTCCATCCACAATGTACAGGAGTTGCGGTTTCTCCACATACGTGCAAAAATGCAAAGATAATTGTTAATTTTAGCCATTTCAGTGCCCCTGAGGTGTATCTGTATTTTTATTTTAATTTTTACTTTTATCATTATCAATGAGGTTGGGTAACCTTACAAACATCTCACAGTCTTTTAGGTTCCCTCCAGGTTTTGCCCTTAGCCTTTTGCTCAGTTTCTATTGTACTGCCTTAATTTTCTTATAGATATTAAGGCTAAAATGATGAGAAAACATCATTTGTGGGATATTGCATTTAAAATATCCTGCTCTGTGGCTTACTATTTACATTTTTAATGGAGTTGTTCATATAGAGAAGTTATTTTCAGCCTTTCATGTTTTAAAAAATACATGCATTTTAGGCTATAATTGTTCTTCCAAGTCTGATTTTTAGCCTCATCACCCAAGTGTTGAAGTGTCGTAATGCACTGCTATTTTACTCAAAATCTTTTCTAATCATGTGTGATTTCTTCTTTGCTCCATGGCTACTAGAAGTATATGGCTTAATTTCCAAAAATTTGGAGATTTTTTAGTTATCCTTTGATTATAGATTTCTCCCTTGGAAGGCTTCTTTTGGAATTTGTAGAGATTGGCTTTGTGGACTGAGCATATGGTCAATTTTAGAAATGTTTCATGTTCACATGCAAAGAAGATATACTCTATAATTATTAGTTATAGTTTGATTCAAGTTTGTTAAGTCTATTTAAAATTTTTGGTAGCCTTGCTGATATTTTTGCCTGCCTGCTTTCCCAAAAGTTTTATCTATCTGCTTCACTCTATCAATTTGCTTTACATATATCTGAAGTTATATTACTAGATGCATAAAAATTAGAATTCATTGCATGTTTTGGGGTACTACCCTTTTATCGTTATGAAATACTTTCTTTTCTCTAGGACTTGACTTAAAATCTATTGTTAATTTAACTGAATCACATTTTTTCTTTTAGTGTTTGCATGAATCTATAAGTGTATATACATAAATATACACACAAACACATATGTGTATACTTTACTTTCAATCTTTTGTTGTTACATTTAAGATATATATTTTTTAAAGGAACATTTTGTGAGGGCACCATAGAACTGATTATTGGTCTATGTTTTGTTAGAATTATAGAGATTTCTCTCTCTTTGTGCTTATCTATGTTTTCTGTGAATAGTAAAAGTAAGTAAACTTAGATATCTAAAACTCATGTCATTGACCTCCAGAAAAGAGATAAAGATCAAAATAATGAACCTAATAGAAGAATTTATTTGTCCGTATGTGTTTTCAATATTTAGTACTAATGATTCAGGCACTGAAGCTCAAGAACTGAGAATTATGTCAGGTTATTTATGGAAATCAATACATATCTGGACTTCCTTATAAAATGGAAGTTTTCAAATGGAGATTAGAATGAAGTAGGAAAGGTGCTGTTTAAGAATCTCCAAGGCAACATTTTCAAATATTCATAGGTAGCCAAGTCCCCTACCTCAGCACCTCCCAAAACCACAGACTCTCAATGGCAGGAGTAACTTTAAAAAATCTTCTTAGATGTTTCTGATAACCCTTCCCTTTCCTTGTGTTGGTCACTCCTTCCCTAATAACTTTTCATGTTCAGAATCACTACTATGAAAAGAATATACTGATCATGGGAAACTTAACATGGAAACCCATAATATAGAAGTAGACTGGTCATAAAATACATCTCCAAACAGGAGAGTTTTGAGAGTAAAATGGGGACCATTTACATTTACCTCAAGACAACATTCAAAAGTTTAGGTCGGTGGTTCTAAATTTCAGAAGCAGTTTGAGCAGCATTTACATTTGGTTGTCACAAATGGCAGGGTGTTACTGACATCTAATGGGCAGAGAGCAAGAAATGCTGCTAAGCATAGCAGAGAACATAGAACAACTTCTACAACAAAAACTTTTCTCCAACAATGTCAAAGGTGCTGAGGTAGAAAACCCCCTGCCTTAGAACTGGGAAAATGAGAGTCACTTTTGGTTATGCATGGATAACAATAAAATCATACTTTGCCAAGACTTGGTGAAAATTGTATTCTTAACACAAACATCAATACCGTTTTTGTTCAATATATCTCTTCTTTAAAAATAAATAGCTTTAGTACAAATCAAGAGATCTCAGCAAAATCTCTGAGGAAATGGATGAACTTTTGGAGACGAGCAAGCTTGGATTCAGGACGTGCTTGCATTACTTGGTGACCCTGTGACCTGGAGGAGCTGCTTTGTCACTGTGAGACAATGAGAGGCCATCCCAGTTCCAGGGAAGGGGGCTGAGCATAATGGGGTAAACAGGCAGGAACAGCTAAAGGGAGCTCTTACTCTTGAGTGTTTCCAAAAGCAGTATCTCTGCAGCACCTCCTTTAGGGTAATAGAGATACAGGGTTTTAAAGAAAGGGATGAAAAGTGGTAGAGGAATCTGGAAACAAAGAAGCGGATCTGTTAAATGGAGGATTGGAATGTCAGTGAAGCAGACAAAGGGACTCACTCTGAAGGTACTTTCTCTCCCATCAATTGACTCCCCTCTCCAAACCCAGACAAATTCTGATGTTCCTTCCTAGTTAAAACGTGTGCGGGAAACGGAAAAGCAATGTAAACCTCTCCTGGAAAGGAACAAGTGCCTTGCCAAGAGAAATGATGAGCTGATGGTGTCTTTGCAACGCATGGAGGAGAAACTAAAAGCCGTCACCAAGGAAAATTCAGAAATGGTTCGTACTGCAGGCTCGGCAGAACTCAAGTTTCCTTCCCTATATTCATTCCTTCTTTGTAATAGCCTGACTTACTGTTTTCTTTCCGCTTATTTTTGAAGTATCATGCTATTTGGGTTTTTCCTTATGTAAGCAAGGAAGCTTTAAGGAGGAAAGCAAGGGAAACCTGCTGCCTCAGAATTTTATGGGGTTTCTAAATTTACAGAACTGGAGGAGTGCTTCCAGGAGTCTGCACACTTTCCAAAAGCAAAGCTTCAGTGTGTTTCCTCAGCCATAGAAACCTTCTTCCAATGTACCCTTTTCAGAACTATACAGAGGGACACCTCTAAGAACTGGCATAGTAGTTGGAAAATAGAAACCGTCACTGGCATTAGGTATGGACAGGTGATATGCTAATGCACTCCTTAACAGATTTCCAACTCAGCTATAGAGGTCTCCAGAAAATCCCCCAATGACTTCAACATAGTATCACAGATAAAACACACGTGAGGTTTTTAGTTGGTGTGTGTAGAAACACACATTCTAACTGGAAAATGTTTAGCTGGAGCCTCATAAACTTTCTGCCCATGTTTTATAGTAATGACTGAACTTTGGAATTTTTTAAACTTTCCACCTGTACTCTCTTCTTTTCAAATCCAGAGAGAAAAAATAACATCGCACCCACCTTTGAAGAAATTAAAATCTCTGAATGACCTCGA